TAATTATCATGAAAGCAATACATTACAAAGTTGAAATATTCAAAGCCGGTACAATATTGTAAACAAATTTGCGTAATTAGAAAAGCAGTGCACTAAATAAACGACGTTGATATATTCAAGTTGCGTAATTACAGTCCCTTCGGATAGAATAACAATTTTACTAGATTGACGCACGGGGCACGAAAGAAAAAGGATGCTAAAGTAACATGGCAGTTGTTTGTTTGTGTACAGAGTGAGCTTTGCCATTTCACTGTTTCATTTCAAGTGTAACATGGTGCATGGTCCTTGACGCAGTGCGTGTTCTATGCTTGACTATACGCCATGAATGTCGCTAGCCACGAGTCCCGGAGGCACTAAAAAAACGTCCTATAATCGTGTTCATTGGAAAACAAAACAAATCACTAATAAATTTATGGAAACAGCTCCTTTTTGAATCGATCTAAAAGTACTCTTTTAATTCGCTCACCAAAAACCAATAATTTCTGTTTTTATGCTATTAATTCGTGCACTTGAAAAAATAATTATTTTTACACCGCGAATTAATTGAGTTTTTACGGGAATTGCTTTTTTTTTTTCAGTATTGTCCAGGTGGAGAGTTGTTTGATTACATAGTTGCCAAAGACAAACTTAGAGAAGGAGAAGCAAGGATGTTTTTTCGTCAAATTGTTTCAGCAGTTGCATATACTCATGAAATGGGATATGCACATAGAGATCTTAAACCGGTAAGTTTATAGCAGAAGCTGATATTGATACTGTATACTGCTTTAGTTTAGTGATTGTCGTCGTCCGTGTCAATGTTTTACTTTTCCGACTTCTTCTTGAAAACTACAAGCCTGAATGCTTTGATACTTGGTGTATATGTACCTTGTGTAGGCCTCTCTGGATTTGTTCTTTTCATGATGATATCTTTAATTCTCTAATTTTGGTGAATATTTTTGGTAAAAAGTGATGTATAAAGTGACTTCTTGTTAAAAACCGCAAGTCTGATTGCTTTGATATTACTTATATAGGTACTACATGTGGAACTCTCTCAGAATTGTTCACTTTGTGATGATATCTTTGATTCTCTAATTTTGGTGAATATTTTTGTCATTTTTGGTAAAAAGTGATATTTTCGACTTCTTGTTAAAAACCGCAAGTCCAATTGCTTTTATATTACATAGGTACTACATGTGGACCGCTCTCAGATTTGTTGATTTTGTAATGATATCTTTAATTCCCTAATTTTGGTGAATATTTTTTTAATTTTTGGTAAAAAGTGATATTTTCGACTTCTTGTTGAAAACCGCAAGTCAAATTGCTTTGATATCACATGTATAGGTACTACATGTGGACCTCTCTCAGATTTGTTCATTTTTAGCTCCGCTGTCGACTTTGTCGAGCGGAGCTTATCATATGAGTGATTGTCCGTCGTCGTCGTCCGTGTCAATGTTTTACTTTTTCGACTTCTTCTTGAAAACTACAAGCCTAAATGCTTTGATACTTGGTGTATATGTACCTTGGGTAGACCTCTCTTAGGTTTGTTCATTTTATGTTGATATCTTTAATTCTCTAATTTTGGTGAATATTTTTGTCATTTTTGGTAAAAACTGATATTTTCGACTTCTTGTTAAAAACCGCAAGTGCAATTGCTTTGATATTACATATATAGGTACTACATGTGGACCTCTCTCAGATTTGTTCATTTCGTGATGATATCTTCAATTCTCTAATTTTGGTGAATATTTTTGTCATTTTTGGTAAAAACTGATATTTTCGACTTCTTGTTAAAAACCGCAAGTGCAATTGCTTTGACATTACATATATAGGTACTACATGTGGACCTCTCTCAGATTTGTTCATTTTGTAATGATATCTTTAATATCTCTAATTTTGGTG